CCCCCCCCCCCCCCCCAAAAAAAAATACCCAGATTGCTTCAATGACATCATCAAAGCAAAAAAGCAAGTCTGTTGATTTCTGCCACATTGATGAGCGATTGCAACTGAGCAATGAAGCGATATCAAAGGGGCAAACCAAGCGACAGCGAAAAAAAATTAAAAGTCCGGTGTGAACACACCTTTACATGACCACTTTTAATCAGAATGGCCTTTCATTCCGAATGAAAGTGGAATGAAACTGTCCATGTAAATGTACTGACTGTCTCCCTTTTGTTTTTCTTTTTCTCAAAGGAGAACACGGGACAGGTGATATACAGAGCATATACGTGTGATGTAGCAGACAAGAAAATGCAATTTAGTTTCCATTTGACTCTAAGAATAGCAGTGCCACTGTGCTTCAAGAGGAGTCCAGTACTGTGGTGATGTTTTAATGTAAGACAGAAGACACACTGTCTGTCCCGAGTGCTGACTAGAGTGCATATTGATTTCCTGTACAGAGTGACAGAGATGGGGACTTCAGTCATTCTCAGTCCATGTGCAGATGGTCTGCAGTGTAACCTTACTCTGATTAATACCCGATGTGGCCCTGTCAATCAAATACACTGATTAAATTATTAGAGTTTTTGTCACAAAACTAACACATAGCAGACATCCCACCTCCATCCTGGAGCAACCCCCCATCCCATCACATCTCATACTGAAGGGGTCTCAGGGGAGCAGCTCCATTAAACCCCATTATCTGGATAGAGAGGGGATGAGGGGCTAAGCATTGATCTGTCAGAGAGGGCACATCTTCTAATGTCACACACAGAAATGGATGGAGTGTGTCTAGTTACTGATCAATCAGACTGAAAACCAAGGGTTTAGAAAAAGTCATTCATGCTTTCATCACATCATCTTGACAGCTTTAAAAGCTGTCCACCAGCCTGCACCAGTTCATCCAACACGTTCTTATCCCAACTCATCAGATCTCACCCCTTTGTCAGTGGACTTTCACATCTAAATATGATAGATTAGTTCACCTCCTATGCCTGATGTTGATGTTGTGGGATGGCCTGTCAATTTATGTTACGTTGTTCTCGCAAATTTTTCATTTTCAAAATTTTTCTACAAAAAGCAGTGCACCAAAATTCATAGATATCCCACATATTTTGAAAGACTGCGACAAAGTGGAAGCAGTCCTGACTGTCTATAAGGAGGCAGGTTAGGGTGGTGAATGGGTCACAGAGAAAACAGACTTTCGCCCAGGACCTTCCCCTGGAGTCGCATGTTCAGATCCCGGTGAACTTTGAGACATTTTAAGGTACACCCTCACCATGTTTCTTTCCCTGAACCTAACCACAGTCACTTTTGACTACACCTAACCTCTGTAACTTTATGTTAATTACATGACTGTATGTTAAGGATGTAATGCCATTTGTGGGACGTTGAATGCATTGTGTCTTTTCAAAATACACTTTGAGTTTCACAGGAAATGTACAGTTTCTGTTCATTAGATGCAAACAGTCTTTTCAAAAACACCAATTTTTAACAGTTATTTCCTTGTGCACAAAAGAAAAGTGCACAAGGAAAAGTTTAATAAAAGGACAAGGTATAGACCTGTTCTATAGGCCTGGATATGGACTGTCCGTAGCGCCAAATAATATAGTTTCTAAAGAGCTAAGACGAAAAAAGGAAAATGAAATCAGCAGTGGCGATCATATTTCCACTGCTAGTTGCATACAGGGGAAACACTGCTCTTTCTGGTATGAGTTCTTCTGAGTCATTGTGTTCTTCCTCAGCACCGTGTAAAGTTGCTTCGCTTTCAGGACTCTCTCCGGCAGCCATTTTTGCCTCTAATTGGGACACAGCTGCTCTCACTCTCGCGAGCTCTAGCACGCCTGTGGTGTGCAGCAGTGAAATGGGTCCCTGCTGAAACACTTTCCTGCCGCACACGTTGCGTACATTGTTTGGGTTATTCACCAGTATTGCGGTATATGAAAAATTCATATCATAATGAAAATAAATTGGTGTGAACCGGTATACCACCCAGCCCTGATTCTTTTCATGAGATTTTTTAAGCTGTGCATACACCTGATTCAGTTTTATAAATCTCG